AAAAAAAAAAAAAAAAAAAAAAACTGTTTACAAGTCTGGCCATTCTTGTTCTTCTCACCAAATTTGCAGACAATAGAAACGAATCTAAGTATTATTATTATAATTTTTTTTACTTTTTTTCCCCTTTTAGGGTTTGCTTCTGCTGCTTATCTAGTTCAAGAAAGGGATCTAAAGATTTCGAAACATCTCAAACTGGCAAATCCTCTTACCCAAAAAACTTTCACCATAATACATAAAGGGTAGTTTATTCTTTCCTTTCTGTTACTCCTGAAATGGGATTTAAGCTTCCGTTATACCAAATTTAACTCGACAACGAAAGACCCAGTCTTGATAAGGTAATAAAAAAATGAGGGATCTAATATCAAACTTCAAAATACTTTGAAATCCCCACTAAGTATGGAGCCCTTCTTATTTTTAGGCAAAACCCATATCAATAATGATAACAAAATGTCAAAAAAACACAATCTCCTGTTAAATTTCTACCAAAATACACTAATTTTTCCAGTTTTCGAGCAGAAAAAAACATGGTACCTGCACCGATTCAGTTCGTACGAGTCAGAGGTTCTTCAGCACGGAGAGGTCTGAGGGTTTTGTTTTCTTCACTTTACTTTCTTCCTCTTTCTCTCTCCATCTGAGCAAAAACTGGGCGCTGGGCGTACGAATAAAGGAGAGGAATAGTGTGTTTAGCAGAGTACTGAGCAGTGATTTAAATAAAAAGAGGTGAAGTAACTATCTGCTTTCTCAAATTTATGGGTATTTGAGAACTTGGTTTGTTTAATCAGAGGCCCTATCAATTAATCCTCCTCGAGGATAGAGTTTGTATAGAGGCATGATGATATAGGGCATATAGCCTGTAAAAACAAACGAGAGAAAAAGTATATAATAAATTACAAATATGGGGAAAGGGTTGAAAGGACGAGTGCTCGGTACTCCCGTCGTTTATGCCCAAAAATTTGAAATAGTTGCACTAATTTGGTCATTGTTTTGTCTCTACACGATACGGGAATTGTGAAGCTCATTATAGAATAAGTGCGGAGTTGAATATAGAATATTTTGAAAAAAAAAAAAAAAAAA